AAAGAAAAAAAGAAAAATGCTCCAAGAAATACATAACCTCTTTTCCTATATACATAACTTGAGATGCATTGAAATCTTAAAACAATAAGGGTCGTATACTTCATTGGACGGGATCGGATAACTAAATTTGTCACACCATATCATCTGTTTACTTTAAATGATTGGGATAGAACTCTTTCTAGTTGGCACCCATGAAACATGTGGATCCCACAGTGTATCATTCATTCGCTGATAAAATAAATCCTAGGGGAGGTCGGATTTTTTTATCCTGATTTTTACAATGTCCATTTTTATCCCATTTTTTATCAAGTGAAGTAAACGTTGGACAACTTGCTGACGTGTAAAGTAGTTGGATTATTTTGTTTAATCCTATCAAGCAAAGTAAATGAGGCGAGAAGTTTGAGACGGATGGAGTATTATTATGGAGAATAACTAAGTGAAAGTGAAGAAATGCAATTATAAGTTCAATCCAAAATAATAATAATAATAACAATAATAATAATAATAATAATAATAATAATAATAATAATAATAACAACAGCAACAAACGATTAAACAAAGCTTGTTCCGCACCAAATAATTCGAGTTTATGTACATTTCATGTAAAACTCAATCTCGTATCACTTGCAAAGTATAAGAGCATCTCCAATATAACCGACAATTAATACAAGCACTAGTCCAAATATTATATTACCGACAATTATAGATATAGCGGTGTGAAGCTTAATTTGCCACAAAATTGAAATCCTAACACTCAAATTGGACGTGACAATTTAATTTCACATCATACTAACACATCAATATTCTTGCAATTAAAACATAAAAAATAAAAATAAAAACAAAAATAGGACCACCTAAATTTCCCATCATCCAGCCAATAGAAGTTGTCAAATACATGCATGCACACGGTTGGATATGATAGGATTGATGATAGAATCTACATGCTTCTTTTCTTTCTCTTTGACTAATATTATTACTGCAAATATATTTGGGTGGCTTCGTGCGAGTTTCCACTCTTTTGGACCTTTTTATTGATCACGAGTTGAGTTGTTGGGACGTCAAATTTTGATGCAGTCATGAGAAAGTTGAAGACCTGATGACATGTTTTTTATTATCCAAAATCAAATCGGCTAATCTTTATCATATCCTTTTCCATCTCTTGGTTTTCGCCATTGGTCCCCTTTTAAAATGACTTTTTACCATTCTTTTAATTAAAGGATTTTTTTAAGACCAGTGTGTTGGAATTAGCCTTATGCGAAAACCATCGCTATATCCCAAGAGCTTTCATATCAAATAATCGAGAATTAAACTAGATAGCGGAAGCGTACCTTAGGTGGATTTATAGATCTGATCACCATGGAACATGTTGGATCACGAACACATCCTCGACCACGAACGACGTTGGTTTTATGGCCTTCCTCAACTAAATCGCCTTATTCCTCATATGGGACCGTCGTTCTAGATTCCGATGGGGAGAAAAGAGAACTATGTTTGATTTAGTGTATTGGGGACCATAACCAAGATGTTCTATATATACTAATAGGGTAGGCCACCCATTATCACCTAACCCTAGTAATATTAGGTATCCACTCATTAAGTCCATATCAATTTATGTAGCCCATGAACTCTACTTAATTTAGATCACTTAATTGAGTCCATTAATTAATTAATTAATTAATTGAATAGCTAATATAATATAATTGTATATAATATGTTGCCCATAATTAGATTATACATGGGAAATAAAATATTTCCTAACACAGTGGTCTCGTGTTCGAGCCCTGGGAATGCAGCAGTGTTAAAAACTCTTGAGGGAGAGCTTTGCCGCCCTTGTGGTCCTACCCGGCTCGATTCCGGATTAGTCGGTTCTCCTGTAGATCCAGAAACCGGAAGGTCCCTGTACCAAAAAAAGGATTTTTCTAAGGATTTTATTATGTGCATTATGTACTCTTTATTACATTTGTTCACATGTCATCATTATTTTAATTTTAAAATTTTCATTATGAGTTTTGACTAACGCACTAACAATACGGGTTAGATGGTGTGAGAATGTGAGGAAAAAAGATGGTGTGAGAATGTGAGGAAAATATATTTCTTTTATAAATACAAAGGAATGTATATTTATGTAAAGATATAAAATGAATCTCCCTAACAAACATGATGTGGTGATTTTTGGTGGGCGATAAGAGGAGGAGCTGGCCTCTGGTTGCCGGTCTGGAGTGTTCTGCTCGCGTGGTGATTTTGGCTGCTTG